TTTTGGTCAATATTGTAATCACAATTATTTAACACGATTATGAGTAAGTCATATGACCAAAACTTTATGTGAGTGATTAATTTAAAAATAGCAATATATATGAAATATACATTTTCTATAAATAAGGTTGCTATGACATCTACATTTTAGATACCAGCAAAAAAATAAAAGAAAACAAGAAATTTCACTGGTATTTGTATAGACTTCTGAAATGTTCACAACCCAATCGAACTTTGTATAGGACTGCTTACCTTGTGTCTGAAAACTCTAGGTTGATCACATTTAATACTTTCTTTCTGTTTGTGCTGTAGTAAAAATCAACAAACTCTTTTAACTTCATTTTGCTTTGTGTCTGTTTGGTTACATCGACAACATCCACAAGAACATCAGGTCCTTTGAACGAAAAAAGAAGAAATCAATTAGAACAACATAAACATATTGCACATATATTCTCGTGAGGAAGATATATTTAAAAAAAAGAGGAACGTTGGTTTGATTTTATCTCCTAAACTACTTACCAACATAGTTTTCTACATCACTGACGTAGAACGTGGGTGCAGGCATAGCCATCCCCAGCCCATCTTTCTTCTGGATGAGAATTGGCTCATTGAATCCATTCTCCTCAAGGTAGTCCAACGTCAGCTGACTTCCAGACAGCTTGACCACCACATCTTCTGAACTGCAGTGGAAAAACACACCGTCAGCTTGCTACCTACAGTCACCTACACAATCTCTCCAAGACATCATACTGGAATCTTTTTCACATGTCTGGTGGAAAAGTTCAGAGCCTGAGCAAAGCTAATCATGGGGCGCCATCTTCTGGACACTGAATGAACTGAAGGACTTGGACATTATCAGGAGCACTGGCCCTTTAGCTTGGCTGGGATGATCTTCACAAAAGTGCCTGAACACAGGTGTACTATACCTGGGGAATGTTCTGCTGCGCAGCTCTTTTATGAACACCTGACTGCCGTTTTGAACCGGTCTGACGTCTCCGCTTTGTCCCGTGTCATGCTTATTCCAGCTCTTTTTCTTTTTCACTGTTAAAATTGTAAACACATGAAACCATTGAAATAAAGATTGGATACGGTGAACAAATATACTTTACCCTTTCATTGAAACCAGTTACTTAATAAAGCAAAAATAATACAAACGTTTGCAAACTGCAGAAACAGGCATAAATGTATGAGTGTGTGCAGAAGATGAGAACATTTTAAACATTAACAATGATTTGGTTAGTAACCAAATTTTAAAGTCATTTTAAAGTAAATTATTTTCATAAGTCTAAATTCAGTTGGAAGTCTTTAATGGGATAAGACTACTTTAGTCGTAAATCAGTATTATCACTTATCTAAAGCTTGTTTTCGTTTATTAAAGGGTTGGATTCATATTACAAATAAAGATTTCACAAAAATATACTGAAAATGATGAATTAAAATAAAAAATTTTATTGTACCCACAAAGAGAGTAAATAAAAATACAGCAAAAACAGTAATACTGTAGAACATTATTTAATAAAACCGTTTTATATTTTAATATATTTTAAAATGTCATTTATTCTTGTGAATTTTCAGCAGTCATTACTTCAGAAATAATATGCTGATTTGATGCTCAAAAGTAGTTTTAATTATTTTCAGTTTTGAAAACAGTTGTGCTGCTTAATATGCATTATGCATAATATGCATTATTTTATATGTAAAATAATATATAAATTATTACTTATGATATTGTACCAAGGTAAATTTTAATACCATGTTGAACTGAATTGAATCAACATTGAACTAACTGAATAGCGCTGAATAGTGAGACGATTGCCTTCTATAGAGCTGCTTATAGCGGAAATGAACTCGGAGATGAATAATGACCCTATTGTCATTTTAGAGTTTCTTTACAGTAGAATTTGACTTGGTCTCATTTGATTTATTTTTCTGTTTATGACTGTGAAGCTGCTTTGGTATATAAAGCGCTATATAAATAAATGCCTAATTCGACCCTAATTCATTCACAGTATCAATGAAAGATACTTACAGGTGGATTTGCCGTGGGTCTTTTCACAGTTAGGACAGTGATAGATGTCAATATCTGGTGCTTCGTCTTCATCCACTCCCACACAGCTGTAACATAGCAAGCACAGAGTATGCATGTATGTATTTCTAAAGATCCACACAATATTAAAACGAAACAGCAGCTATCAGCAATCAAGATCTGGTTCTAATAGAATCATTGTCCACTGACAGCCATTCAAAATCTGCTGTGAATTCTGATGACATATTCTGAATGGGAATGTTAACAGATGGCTTTCTCCAAATATTATAGACCTTCTTTGTGTGGACAAGTCTCTCTCACATCTTCCCACTGTTATTTTCCTGGCCATGGCTGCCCCTTAGTGAGGCCCTAGTGGTCTGCTTTGTTCGGCAGGCTCAGGTCACATGTCCTGAGGTTTTGGCGGTCCAAGGCCCTGGGGAACCATCCTGGTCCATAATCCAGTCCTGCACAGTGGGGATGGTGCATTTCCGATGATGCACAGTGTTCAGCTTATACGCCAAATATGGCGTTTAGTCTGATGGCCAACAAGATCAACCTTCTTCCAGCTGGCTTCAGTCTACCACATGCCTTCTGGCAAAAATACAGCCAAGATGTCATGTGACATTTTTAACAGTGGCTTTCTCTTCACCACTGTCCCTTAAAGCTGCTGAAGCACCCAGGCAACAGTTGTTGTATCACAGTCTCTTCAGCTTATAACTCCTTCAGAGTTGTCAGTGGTCACTTAGTGGCACTTGACTTCACACAAGTGATCTTCATTTAACTATTTGT